CCACTAAATATACCACACCTATACTCTGCCTGTACCGTACATCCGCCTTTGGCCGTACAGACCAGTATTAGTCCACTTTTTTGCTATAGTTATTTAGTATATGTTCCTTTGGTGCTATTAATTTTATTTAAATTAAAAAATTATTTTGATGTGTTACTACCATTAGTATAAAAAAGATTGATTAGGTAAGTACTTTATTTCTTGTTTTTTATATTTATTCTTACTTATTATTATAAAAGTAACTAAAATCTAAAAGTATGGATCTTTTTAAGTTATTTATGACCAGATTAGGTAAAATAAGTAATAATAATAATATAATTAAAATGGTTCACGAGGCACACGTGAACAGCTTGTAGGTAATGTAATTTGGTAGCGTAATGTGACCTACACATTTTCTGAGTGATTTACAACTTATAATGTTGTGGATAGTTGTTAGACACAGTTCAAAGGGCAATAAAATAATAAAATTTGATTATAAATAGATCTATACTGTTAGGAACCTAAAGCTGCTTAGGATAAACGAATGCAGTTTCATGCTACAACTTGAAGTCATTCTAGAAAGAATAAAAGAGCAATTTAGATTTGTCTAAATTTTTTTTTTTTTATATTTACAATGTCAGTCAAATTGATCCATCCTATTTTGAGATAGGGTAGAGAAAATAACTGATAAACTTTAAAGTTTTACTGAAAAAAAAACGTTTGAAATGCATTTAGGAGGTTTTAGGAGTTAAACAAAGGAAATTTGAAATTTTTGAGATGAGGAAAAATATTTTTAATTTTAACATGAAAATTACTTTGCACATGGACTATTCAAAACAAATATTCAGTATATTCTTGGACAAAACTTTATTTTACTTTATTAAAAATACTTCACTTAAAAATATGATTTTTTGTATGTGAAAGACTTACAATATAGGAACCCTATATGTGAACAAATGATACATTACATCAGTACAGTTGCAACAATAAGTCAATAATCTTTATGGTACATGTGTCGTGACTGCTATATAAACATTAAATTACATCCACTATCTGCATGCAGCTATATATGTATGCATATAGTAGATTATTAGACTCCATATAAACCACAGACTACATTAAAATGATTGAGTGTGAATGGTTATACATCCACTGTTATTTTCCAGGCAGTAAAATAAACTTAAAAATACCATACACAATGCTCAATGATGCTTTCAGTAATATTGCCTAGGTTTTATTACAATACTAATTTTTGCTGTAGGTTGGCAGAACAGTATTAAATAAGGAAGAACAAATGGGTGATCCATGTTATGAACCACTATTGTGGGTCATGATGTATGTGGTTTAATTAGACAGTAGAAAAGATATAAATAATTTGAGAAGTACTTTTAAAAAAAATTATTAAACTTTTTATATTAATACAAACATGTACCTAAAACAATCAGAAAGGGGAAATCTTAGAATTCAAAAAAGATTAATGTTATTCAAATAAAAAAATCAAATACATTTAAGAATATTTCAGTCATAATAGAGTCAAGAGGATTTAAATTTGTTTTATTTTCAAAAAGAAAATAACCAAAATGTCTGACAAAATGCACTCACCTGTAAAAGGGTATCTTTGGCTGAAACATTATTTAAAATTGAAAATGTTTTAAGTGCTTTTGATATCAGTTTTGTTTTGTTCATGATTATTAAATTGATAGCATCTGTTTTTAATGAACCTTTAACCTTCTATTATCTTCATCAGTTAAAAAGAGTTACATTAAATAGTGCTGAAACTTTTCCTATGTAGTTTTTGTTTTTCTAATTTCATAATATTATCTACTTTTTACAATATTTTGCAGAAAAGGGTATTGTTTTATGGTTGTGTTAATATACTGCTTAGATGCTTTCTGATTGTTTGTGTCAGATGATGTCTGTCCTAACTTACTGAAAATATACAACCTTTTACAATAGAAAATATGAAACTTTCTCATATTTTGAAATAGATGGTGATTTTATCATTTCTTAGATGGAATTTTGTGAAAAAAGCACTTTGAGAACAGCAATTGATCAAGGTTTGTGTAAAGAAGTTGAAAAAGTATGGCGCTACTTTCGGGAAATTATTGAAGGTCTAGTACATATTCATCAACAGGTAATAAAGAAAACTGAAATGGTTGTTAGAATGTTTTCTTTATACTTTATACATAATTTATAGGAACTCCAAAACAGTACTTCCTCCATTCACCAAAATCTATCTTGACCTTGATTTGCCTTCTAAGCATTGCTAAAATTTTCAACAGTGCACTAGTCTTTTATACCATTTCATTTTTGTGCCATTGCAGCAACATGTGCTAATCATGTGACTACCCTCTACCAATCATACTACACCACCTATACTAGCACAGGTAGCTTTTTCTACAATTGCAGCACAATCCTCATTTTGGAGAATTGGCAGATACAAACTAGAAACACTGGCAAATCAGTGGGGAGGAAAGGCGGGAAATGAGTGAGGGGGAGGTAAGTACCTGTTGGAAATACATTTTCAGTGTCAGAAAATGTTAACTTCTTAAACAGTACCACCTCCGTTCACCCAAAGCTAGAATCCCACTTTGCAAAGGTAGAGGAGCTGGTGACGACACAAAAATAATCCAACAACCAAGGCAAAATCATCTGGTAGAAGCACCTTGTGTTTTAATCAGTATAGCAAGTGTGGTCCATTTGGACAGAAAATATCCAGTGGAATCATCTTGCATAAAATCATGATCAACAAGTGCGGTCTACCTGGGCAAAAAACATCCAGGAGAAGTGCCATGGATGAAATATACTGACGACAGCCCTCTTCTCATAGAGTGGGTACATATGACTATGAAGTTAGTTTTATGGTACAAATCCCACTCCAGAGGAAACCTCCATGGTCCACTACTACAGAAGTGGCAAGGACACCCATGCTCCACCAGAAGAAAGGGGGGGATACGCGTTGGGGAGGCCAGATGAATGACACATTGGATACAGTGCAATGAGTGTCTGCAATTCCTGTTTTGAAAGCAGATAAGACCCCAATTGTAAGAATCATGGGTCAGTAGAGATGGGAAAAATTCCCATCTGCTTTACTCATGAAGTCCATGAGTGACAGTCATTTATATATGAAAATTTTAGCAATACGTAAAGGACAAATCAAGGTCAAGATAGCTTTGGGTGAGTAGAAATAATTACCTATTGGAAATACATTTTCAGTGTTAGAAAATATTATCTTTCAGAGTTTGCTTAATGCTGTATAGTATTAGTATTATAACAAAATTTGGGTTTTACTTGAGGTTACAGAAATGTAAGTGTGTGTGTGTGTGTGTATATGTATGTGTATATATATAAATTATATGCCTTTAAATTAACAGTAAGATTTGATTTGACATTTCAGGGAATGATACACAGAGATTTGAAGCCAGTCAACATATTTATAGATTCCAATGATCATGTTAAGATTGGAGATTTTGGACTTGCTACCACAGACATCATAGCCAAAGTAAAGTAATTTTCTTTTTTCAAATTAGAATTTTTGTTTTGTTTTTAGTAATTTTTTCATTAATCAAAGTATTTTCATTAACCCTCTTGCTATGGACAGGTCAATGTGCACATGCCATGATTTTTTAGGAAATCACCTTCAAAATTTAATTAAACCACTTTATTGTCATGGGATGCAAATAATCTTGGCATCAAAACATAGTTAATAAATCAAGTTTTAATATTATATAGGTTTTAAGTTCTAAATTTTGTAAGACAATATTTTAAAAAATCCTCAATCTCTCCTAAGACGAGAATTGTGACATTTGCTCTTTAATTTATTTCCCACTCCTCTGAGAAGTATGGAATTAAATGCAATTAATCATTATAATATATATATTAGTCAGATAAAACATAATTTCTAAAACCTTCAATCATATTTGTTTATGGAGCCATTAACTAGAAAATCAGACCCACTTGCCATTCCCATTTCTTACATCCTCTTTCACAAATTACCAAGAGTTTTCTCTGATATTTAATACTATATTATTTGTAACCAACAGAAAGCCAAAGTTTTAATCTATCATTCACACTTATTCTCATGGAAAACACATCAATAACATAACGTTTTGGGACAACATGGGACCTATTGGTCCATCTTCTAAGCTAAATTAAAATAATTTTTAAAAAATCTTAAAGCTAGCCCTTATCAAGCTTTTTTTTAAATTCATTTAAGTCTAATGCCTCTACAACATCCAAAGGCAACCTATTCCAAACGCCAACCACCCTGTTAGAAAAATGAAACTGTCTTAGCTAAAGATGACTCCTACCTTGCCAAATTTTGTATTTGTGTCCCCTCTAGTCTTACTATTCTCACTGTTAAATATAAAAAAATATGATGCATCAACACTGTCAATCCCCTTTACAATCTTAAACACCTCAATCAACAACCCCTTTATCATCCTTCAAGGGTTCTGCCTGCATCCTAAAAGTTTATTTACCCTTAATGTATTTAAAGAAATCCTTGTTTCACCAACTTTCTTGATCTTCTAAATCTCCTGTCATACCAGTCAATTTAAATTTCTTAAATTTATTATGCATTTCTTTAATTTTATCTCTTAAACTCTTTGTGAGCCAATCTATTTTTTTAACATGCAGCTACCCTTTTCTTTTTACAAGGAATATGTTTACCTTGAATTTTTAAAATTTTATCTTTTAAAAATTTTCAAAATCTGATCAGTGTCTCCAAATAACTCAGCTGCCCAATACACAACAGATAATTCTTGTTGCATCCCTTCAAAATTTGCTTTTTTGAAATTTGTAACCAAGATATCATTATTCCTTATCTCCATATGTAACAAAACATTGAACCTAATAGAGCAATGATCATTTGCACTCACATGTTCCCCAATTTCCACCCTCTCAATCATTTCTGTATTTGAAGTTAACAGTAAATCTAAAATTGCATTGTTTCTAGTAGTTTTCTTCACTAATTGGTGAAGAAAGCCACCCTGAATAGTTTCCAAAAACCTTTCTCTTTCATGGTTTGGCTGTAGTATTTCCCCAATCTATATGTTTGAAATTAAAAATCCATAATTATGACTTCATTAACAGCTGAAATCTTAATCTCATTGTAAAGTTTCTCCCAAATTTCATCAGTACCATCTGGTAGTCTGTAACAAATTGCTACTAAAAGCCCTTTCCCTTTATGTCCACTAATAGAAACCCAAATGAATTCAATCATTAGTATTAGACATTAATTAGACATTAATATTAGAACAGTTATATTTTTTATGATGAGTATAATTAACTATAATCATGCTTTGCCAGCTTGGGAAAGATATTTGCACCATAAGAATGAAACCGTCCCATGAAAGAGAAGATAAGTTCTTTTGCCTTTCAAACTGCAAACATTTACATCTCAGGCTTAATTTTGTGCATGGCCTCAATTGGAATTTCTTTGGGATTAGAACTGATTTAATAATTTTGTACATAAGAAGAGAATACTGTGAGATATATATAATATTAGAATCACATATTTGTTTATGTTTGGTTATAAAATTATCATTTTTTTATATATAGATTAATTTGTACATTTAACTCATTCAGTACGTGTGACACTTATGCACAAGGAATAAAAATAGAAAGTAGAGAAACTGAACCACTCACATGTGAATAAATATGATCTTCTAAGTTTTATCATTATTTTCAACTATTTGAATTAGGCTTTGGTATTTTATAATGTGTGTTTTTTAGATAGCAATTAGAAGATTAAAAAGTTTTATGGAAATCATTTTCAAACTAATTAACTACTACATTTGTAAACAATTCTATCCTTCAACATTTCCACAGCTATAAGCGATTTAACGAAACAACAAATTATGTTTAGAAGTTTTCTACTTGATTTAGATAATAAGCTTTATTTTTAAATGAATTATAAAATGTAGTTGAATGGTTGAAACTGTTATACTTCATTGATGTTTTTGTGGTTATATCTAGAAAAGCTAATTAAAATTGTACATTTTTTTGTCTTCTCGATCTGTATACTTGAGACCATGTTTTTGTGATGTTGACAAAAATAGTCTTAAAAGTTGCAGTTATAGTAAAAGAAATATATATATGTGTAACGTAATTGCTTTGTATTTTATGTTCAAACTTGTGAGAAATTTATAGTGATTTTCAAAGTATTACCTTTTGTTGAAGAAATTTTTATCTACAAGTTTCTTTCTTTCATTGTTTTATTAATTTTGGATTGTTATTTCCTTTGTATCTTTGAATATCATGTTGATGTTTCTTTTTGTTAAACTTATGATAGCAGTCTGCTTTGACGGAGACCTCACAAGGAACTGGCGATAATAAATATCTTGAGGTTCCAGACATTTCTAGATCTGATGTTTTAGGAGATGGTAGTCTGACAGGACAAGTTGGGACTGCATTATATTTAGCTCCTGAGCTAGCGTCAGCCACAAACTCGAAAACTCTTTACAGTCAGGTAAAAATCAAGTTCAAATTGAATGGAAAATGTAATTTTTAAACTTAGTTACTTTATATTTAGAATCTCTATAACATAAAACCTTTGCAAACAGCTTTTTTTGAGTGTTTAGAACTAAGGCTTTTTGTTAATTAAGTTATTATTTTAAGATGATGCTTTATGCCTCATTCTTTTTTTTATATTGAAGTTTAGAACTTTAAAAGAGTGAACTTAGTTTTAATTGAACAATTGATATGTGTAATATTTTACATCTGTTATACAATAATCAGGGCATATAGTAAAACTAATGAAATGTTGGTTTTATTTTATCAAATGTGTAACATTCTTCCAAAAATTATTTCATATCATCATACATTCTAATAAATATTGTTTATTGCATATCTGTTTGTCACTGTTGTTGCTCTTTACAGTAGATCTTATGCTGATCTTGTACTTTGTCTTGCACTGCATATATCAAACATCTTTCACTTTTATAAGTTCTAGGAACAGAAAATTTAACATGTGGCATATTTTAGTTGGCATATTTACCTTATTATCTGAATTTTGGTATTTCAAAGAATTTGAAAACTGTTACTAATTTTTATATTAACATACAAGAGGGATATATGGTTTATGATTCTTTTTCACTGACCCCTTAATTACCTGTAAAAGAAAAGTAATCACACAAAATGCTGACATGTATAATTGTGGAATTAATTTCTCTAAAATACCCTATTCAACCAATTGATGCTGATTTTATGAGGGGTTGGGCATGGATTTATGGTCTGTGTACCCAGACTGTGAATCTGAGGATTCGTAGTTTGTGTTCCATTGCTTTAGAAATATGCTCTGTACTATGGGGCTGTTGGTGCATTTTAAGAGTGACAGTCAAATTCCACTATTAGGTCAAACAAGAGTAGCCCAAGAGTTGGTGCTGTTGAAAAGGTTGCTTTTCTTCTAGTCTGTCTGTATAAAACTAGGAATGTACAGACAGCCCTTGTGTGGATTTGAAGGAACATTCCAAACAAAGATGTTGGAAATGGTACTTATTTTAAAATCTATGTTTAAAGAAAATTTAATGCTTCTCTTTATTTTTTTTGTTTGTTTTACATTGTATATAACAAGTTATTATTAAAAATATTTTTTCACAGAAGGTTGACATCTACAGTTTGGGCATCATATTCTTTGAGATGTCGTATCCTTCTCCTCCCACCAACATGGAAAGAGTCAAACTTCTCCTCAACCTTCGAAACGTTGACATTATATTACCCACCGATGTAGAGGTTCATCTTTCCCCTCAACAGGTAATATGTATTTCTTAATAAACAAAAGTTAATTTGAAGTAATAAATCTATTTTTTATTCTTCATGTTAATAATAATTGAAGTTTATTATTGTGTTTCACATTTAAGCACTTTGTATTTTTAATCTTTTTTGTTTCATCTGTCTTTCACATTACTGCCTTCCAAGTAAAGGGTCCAGTATTATTGGATTCACTTTTTGACTGTCTTTAAATAAAATTTGAAAACCTTTAGTACTACCTGGTGGCTATCACATACTATAGCATTAATCTTTATCTCCAGATATCATGTAGTTATTTCAAATTCCAAATTTTGTAATTCATACTTCTTGAGAGATGTCCATAACATGACAATAAAATCTCAAGTTTTTATTATATTTTATTGTGTATTTTAATGTATTTTTCTGTAGTTCCTTCAACGCTAGCCTTGTATTCTGTCAATCTACTGAAATGAGAATCTCAAGAGTTTTCTCTGTATACTTTTATTTTTCTGTGTTTACAGTATAGAAAAATACCTTTAATTTTTTTAGTTACTGTAAGTACATTAATGAACTACATTTTGTGCATTTACTTCATAGTATGTGTTGTTGGTCTGTTCTACTTATTATGAACCAAAATAATTCATGTCATTTCTTATAGGTTTATCTTGTGCAATGGTTATTGCAGCATGAAGTTTCCACAAGACCATCCTCTCAAGAACTCTTGTCATCAGACTATCTTCCTCCTCCCCAGATGGAGGAGGCAGAACTTAATGAGATCTTACGCCACACTGTGTCTAATCCTCAAAGTAAAGCTTTCAAACAGATGGTTAAATCTTTGTTTTTGCAACAGATGCCACCTGTAGCAGACTTTACTTATGACATAGATATCCAGAAAGGATTCATTGTGAGGCGAATGGCTGATGCTTGCAGAGTTGCATTAGACTTTTTGAGGAATTTGATGCATAAGCATGGTTAGGTTTATGCAAAGTACTGTTTGATTAAAATCTGTAAAATGGTTGAAAGACATTCTTAAAAGAAATTATGTGCATTTAGAAATTTTTATTTGGAAAAATTGTACTACGTTTCAAATTTATTAAATCATAATTGTCTATTTTTAATGTACTGAAGTAATATCCAATG